ATATTACCATATGTATTTATGTAATCATAATATTTATACCAACTAAACATATACTTTTATCAAATACATTTCAATTTCTCAAGATTTAGAATTTTCTAACAAGTAATCCTCTTGGGAAAATCACCAAATAATTAAGCTTAGCCTGCAGGATATTTTTTATTACTGTTTTAAGTTTATTGTAAGATAACTAATCCTTAGAAGTAATTTTTTTCTACATAAGAAAAGTATAAATGTACAGAAGTACACTTAAAGCACTGTAGAAATAGGGGAACTACAGGAATTCTTCTAATGGAATTGTCTATTTTTACAAAACCACATTGTTAAGTCATCGAACAACTATTTGCAGCATAAAATACAATTCACTATTCTTGAGCTTATGTAATATCAGAATAAATGAAAGTATCAATTATTTGACAATTCTCTTTGGTTGTAATAGTCAACAGAGTTCTCAAAATCTACTTATCTATTGACAAGGTGTGCTTCATTTTTTGTTAGGTCATAATGGCAAAACCAGAAAAGTAAAGGGTTTAGTTACGCAACACTTCTATCCATTTTGTAAATGAATTGTTTCTACTAAAATCCTCATGGCGTTTTACTTAACCGGAAATAGGTAATATCAACCATTGGGGCATGATGGAATAAGGAAAGACAGGATGGGTGTATTTATTATGTTCTACCACTGGATTCTTTTAGTATTAATCCTGAAAATTTAATAGAGCCACTTGATTGAGAAAAGAGAGGATTTTTAAAAATCATTAATAAATGGAATAAATTATCATAAAAATGATTTGTCAAATGATAAATCAAGATACAACTTTGAACAACAGAAGGATATATGCATTGGGTTTGTTTGTTGTTGCTGTTGTTAGGTATTATCACGTTGATTCTGACTCATAGTGACCTTGTATTGTGTTTCTGAGGAGCTGCTGGTGGGTTTGGACTGCTGACCTTGCAGTTCAAACCACTTGTGGTCCAGTACTTGATCCTATGGTCAGCAAAATGCTACCCCAATGATTGATTAAGATGTACTCACTTGTTTCCATGGTTACCAGGGGTACAACTTGTGAAAAGGTTGGTTCAGAATCAAATTCTTTTAACTTCTCCAGAGCCAAATAGGCAGGTATCCTTTGATCTGTTTCCTGCAAATAAGAAAATGCTTCTAAATGAACCTCATGCACATTAGACATTAGAAAAATGGACCTCATGTCCATTTTTCCTTCTGTAGTTTCTTATTTTATTATTTTAAATGGAAAAATAAGAGGATGAGAAGACCCCAAGTATAGGGAGGGTCTGTCAGTCCTCTCTTCTACCCATCTGGTTCTATTCTTATCAGTTTGAATGAAAACAAGATCAAAAGTTAAGATAACAAACATATCATGTGTGACACTGTGGGATAAGCCCTGGACTGGAAACCACAAGGTTGGTGGTTCAAATCCAGCAGCTGCTCCTCAGAAACCCTATGCAGGGTCACTGTGAGCCTGAATTGACTGAACGGCACATAATATCAATACTAAGTATTCAGTATATTCACTGATCAGTAGTCAAGCAGTCTGTGTTCATTTGTGCCTTCCCAGCATGATGGATGCATGTGAGTAGAATTAAATCTATGGTCTCCTTGACTTTGAAGATAACTTTTTGACAGAACAATAAAGAAGATGGAGTATTGGAAAATGTGTGTGATGGATGTGTTCTTTATGCCCAGTCCCAGAGGTCAAGGAACCCGCACTGACCATCCAGGACAATCTCCTACTCCCCAGCTTCTTGTATAGATTTTCAAGATCTCAATACCTTTAAATATCTCTGTGTAATGAGACTGAACAGAATCTAAGAAAGCAGAGCCAACTACTCAGATTTTCCTGGAGGATTAGACAAGATGACATTTAAAAATTGTCCTCTTCCACTCCTCCATTCCCTTCTCTCAGATGTCAGAAACCCTGAAATGGTTTTGTCGGTCCTATAAAAGTACGACATCCTTTGGGAACATCTGAGTATTTCCTCTTGTCTCCACATAAGGGGCCTCTTGGGCAGGTTTCCAAAAGGTCTTTAATTTTAAATTCTATTAACCACTTCAAGTTTCCATATGTCCTGAAAACTTTTTGAACAGACTTCTAACATCAACAATGTTCTCTGTTGTCATTTTCACAGCGTATTCCATCAGGTGGGGATGGCAAGACACTGAAATTTTTTGGCCAGTCTATCCACGGAGAAATGGATTTAAATGGTGATGGTCTAACCGATGTGACTATTGGGGGCCTTGGTGGTGCTGCCCTCTTCTGGTATGTATTTTAGAAGCATCCAGTTCATCTGACAATCTTCCACACACAAGTTCCTATTCACAGTAGGATGTAAACTCATATAGCCATACCAAATATGGATTTACTTTTGTGCTCCATTATGCAGATACAGGTTATAAAATTGAATAAACTGAAGTGATCAACCCATCATAATGATAAAGAAACCATATTAAAGGAGCAAGTAGAATCCAATGATATGCTTCGAGTCCTGGTGTGGCACTGTAAGATAAGCACTGAGCTGCTAACTGCAAGGTCAGTGATACAGTCCTACCAGCTGCTCCTCAGAAACTCTATACAGTGTCTCTGTGAATTGGAACCAATTCCTTAGTACTTATCAGCAACAGCACCATTTGCTTGATGCTATGGAAGAGGAGGCCGAATAGAGGATACATCTACATAAATTATTCCTAAATTAAAATATTTACAGCTTTTCACAGATAATTTACTCTTCATTTATTTAACCAGTTAGAATTGGGTATGTTGCTGTCAATGTGCTGTAGAGTCAGTCCCAACCATTAGCAACCTTGTATAGGGTTTCTGATGAACGATTGGTAAGGTTGAACCACCAACCTTGTGGTCAAACCAGCTTTGCAGTTCAGTGTATTAAACCATAGCTCCACACCAGAACTCCAAGCACATAATTGATTCTACTTCTTTAATATGGGTATTGTTGTCATTGTTAAGTGCTGTCAAGTTGGTTCCAACCCATAGCAATCCTGTGTTGGGTTTCCAAGGAGTGGTTGGTGAACTTGAACCACTGACTTTGCTGTTCAAACCAACTATGCAGTCCAGTGCACTAACCTACAGCACCACATCAGGAATCCAATATGGGTATGTTGTTGTTAAGTGCCATCTAGTTGATTCTGACCCATAGTGACCATGTATAGGATTTCTGAGGAGCAGCTGGTGAGCTTGAACCACCGACCTTGCAGTTCAAAAGGCCTTGCTGTCTGGCGCATTCACCCACAGCGCCACACTGTGAAATGGTGTAACAACCTTTCTGCAATGTAGAAAGGTGGTTTTCTGGTTTTTTGAACTTTGCTATATTAATGCTGGAGTGAGATGACATCTCATTGTTTCGATTTTCATCTCTGTAATGGCTTATCTAAGGAGCTTTCGTAGCCTAGTGGTTATGGGTCGGGCTGCTAACCTCAGGGTCAGCTGTTTCGTGGGAGAAAGATGAAGTGTTCTGCTCCCGTAAAGACGTACAGCCTCGGAAACCATGTGCAACGTCAATATGAGTTGGAACCAACTCCATAGTACTTAACAACAATAACAACAGCAATGGCTAATGATTGGGAACATTTCCTCATATGTTTGCTGGCCTTCTGAATGTCCTCTCTGGTGAAGTATCTGTTCAAGTCCTGCTCCATTTTTAATTGGCTTGTTTGCCTTTTACTTATTTAGGTGTTGTACTTTACTATGAGTTTCAGAGATTAGTCCTATATCTGATATGTCATTGAAAAAAAAAAGTTTTCCCTAGTCTTTGGGCACCTTTTTTATACTTTTGGTGAAATATTTTGAGGCACATAGTGTCTCATTTTTAGAAGTCCCAGTCTATTTCATCTTCTGCAGTTTGTGTTTTTAGTAATGTTTGATAGAGTGTTTATGCCATGTGTCAGATGCCTGAAGTTTGTGCCTATTGTTTCGTTGGCAATCTTTATAGTTTTGGATTTTAATCCACATTGAATTTGTGTTTGTTTGTGGTATGAGCTATGGGTCTTTTTTCCTTTTACTGAAAATGGATTTCTAATTTTGCCAGCATCATACATTGAAGAGACTATGTCTTCCCCATTTAATGTGTTTTAGCCCTTTGTCAAAGATAGCTGACTATATGTAGATGGATTTATTTCTGATTTCTCAATTCCCTTCCACTGATCTATGTGTCTATCACTGTACCAGTAACAGGCTGTTCTGACCCTTGTTGCTGTGTAGTAGATTTTGAGATTAGGAAGTGAAAAACATCCAACTTTCTTTTTCTTCTTAATGCTTTGTTTCTCCATATAAAAGTTAGTGATCAGTTTTTCCATCTCTTTATACAACGCCATTGGAATCTGGATTGGGATGGCAATATCTCTAGATTGCTTTGGGTAGTGTTGACATTTTGACAGCATTGTCTCACTACCCATGAGCATGATATAATCTGCCAGTTTATAAAATCTTCTTTGATTTCTTGTTAGTAGTGTTTTATATCCGTCCATTTCTTTACATGGGTCCTATGTTTCTCTGGTTATATTTATCCCTAATATTTCAACTTTAATCCTGTCTTCATCTTTCATGATGTTATGGATTGGCTCAGTTGTGAGTATTTTTGGCTTCTTTATATTGAGATACAATCCATGCTGAAGATTGTAGTCTTTTATCTTCATCAATAAGTATTTCAAGTCCTCTTCACTTACAGCAAGCAATATTGTATCATTTGTATATCACACGTTGTTAATGAGTCGTCCTCTAATCCTTATGCCACATTTTTCTTCATATAACCCATCTTCTCAGATTATTTGCGCAGCATACGGATTGAATAAATATGGAGAAAGAATACAACCCTGGCGCACACATTCCTAATTTTAAACCATTTGGTGTTCCCTTTTTCTGTTAAAAAAAACCTGCCTTTGGATCTATGTACAGGTTCCTCAAGAGCACAATTAAGTGTTCTGGAAGACTTTTCTCTGCAATTTTGCTCATACCTTGTCATGATACACACAATCGAAAGCTTTTGCGCAGTCATTAAAGCACAGGTGAACATTTTTCTGGTATTCTCTGCTTTTAGCCAAGATCCATCTGTTGGCAATGATACCCCTCATTCCGCATCTTTGTCTAAATCTGGTTTGAACTTCTGGAAGTCCTCTATCAGTGTACTGTTGCATCCATTTTTTAATTATCTTTAGAAAAATTTTACTTGCATGTGTAATAATATTTTCCAATGGTTTTCCCATTCCAGTGGATAACTGCTCTTAGACTGGGCACAAATATGGATCTTGTCCAATCAGTTGACCAGGTAGCTCTTATCCAGATTTCTTGTCACAGGTGAGTAAGGGCTTCCAGTGCTGCATGAGTTTGTTGAAATATTTGATTTTGTATTCCATCTATTCCTGAAGCCTTGTTTTTTGTCAATGCCTTCAATGCACCTTGGATTTATTCCTTCAATACCATTGGTTCTTTATCATATGCTGTCTCTTCATATGTTTAAACATCATTTTTTTTGGGGGGGTACAGTGATTCTGTGTATTTCTTCCATGTGTTTTTAATGCTTTTTTTCATCATTCAATATTTTGCCCATAGACTCTTTCAAGATTGTAAGTCAAGGCTTGAATTTTTTCTTCAGTTCTCTCAGCTTGAGAAATGCTCAGCATGTACCTCCTTGTCTTGTTTTCTAATTCCAGAGGTTTGCATATTTTATTACAATACTTGACTTTTTCTTCTCAAGCTGCCCTTTTGAAATTTTCTGCTCAGCTCTTTTATGTCCTCATTTCTTCCATTTGCTTTTGTATCTCCATGCCGGAGAAAGTTTTCAGAGTATCTTCTGATATCCATTTTGGTTTTTAAATTCTCTATTGTCTTCTTAATAACCATTTGCTTTCTTTCTGTATTATGTTCTTGATATCCTACAACTCTTCTGGTATTCAATCATTAGTGTCTAATGCATCAAATCTGTTCTTGAGATGATTTCTAAATTCATATAGAATATGTTCAAGGTCAAATTTTGACTCTTTTGCACTTGCTTTAATTTTTTTCAGTTTCAGCCTGAACTTGCATATGAGGACTCACTGGTCTGTTCCACAATCTGCCCAAGGTCAGGTTTGGGCTGATTATCTGGAGATTTCCACCCTCATTTCCCACAGATGTAGTCAGTTTGATTTCTGTGTATTCATACCACAGTTTGCGGCATTGAAGGAGTCTATGGACAAAATGGAGTCCTGGTGTGGCCCTGTGGATTGATGTGCTGAACTGCTGTATTGGTCTGAATTGACAGGTCAGTGGTTCAAGCTCACCAGACAGTCCTTGGAAACCCTATACAGGATCACTGTAAGTCAGAACTGACTCAATGACACTTAACTACAATGGGCAAAATATTGAATGATGCAGAAAGCATCACAAGAAGATGGAGGAAATCCACAGAGTCACTGTACCAAAAAGAAATGTTTGATGTTCAGCCATTTAAAGAGGTAGCATATGATCAAGAGCCAATGATCCTAAAGGATGAAGTCCGAGGTGCACTGAAGTCATTGGCAAAGAATAAGACACTATGAATAGATGGAGTACAAATTGAAATCTTTCAACAAAGTGAGGCAAAACTGAAGGCACTCACTCGTCTATGCCAATATCATCTATGGACAACTGACTTGAAAAAAATTTCTTGGTGCCCATTCCAAAGAGAGATGGCCCAGCGGAATGTGGAAACCATTGGACAATATCATTGATATCCCATTCGAGTAAAATTTTACTAAAGATAATGCAAAAATGGCTGCAACCATACATTGATAGAGAACTTTGAGAGGTTCAAGTCAGATTCAGAAGACAATGTGGAATTAGGGATATCATTGCTGATGTCAGATGGATCTTGGCTGGAAGCAGAGAATACCAAAAAGATGTTTACCTGCACTTTATTGGCTACTCAAAGGCTTTTGAGTGTGTGTCATGACAAGTAATGGACAACACTGAGAAGAATAAGTATTCTGAAACATTTGATTGTGCTCGAACTTGTACATAGACCAAGAGGCAGTTGTTTGAATAGAACAAAGGAACACCAAATGGTGTGAAATTAGGAAAGGTGTGCATCAGGGTTGTATTCTTTCACAGTGCTTACTCAATCTATATGCTGAATGAACAATTCAAGAAGCTGAATTATATGAAAAAATCATTGCATCAGGAATGGAGTAAAACTCCTTCACAACCTGCAATATGTAGATGATATAACCTTGTTTGCTGAAAGCAAAGAGGATTTAAAATACCTACTGAAGAAGATAAAAACCCCACAGCATGGAATGCAGTTCAATGTAAATGAAACAAAAATCCTCACCTCTGGACCAATAAACAAAATCCATATAAAAGGAGAAAAGATTGAAGTTGTCAAGGACTTCATTTTGCTCAGATCAACCATCAACACTTATGGAAGCAGCAGTTAAGAAATTAAAGGATACATTGCATTGGGCAAATCTGCCGCACAAGACATCTGTAATGTGTTAAAAAAAGCAAAGATGTCAGTTTGAGGACTTAGGTGCACCTGACCCAAGCCATGGTATTTTCAATTACCTCTTATGCATTCAAAAGTTGGACAGTGAATAAGGAAGAACATAGAATGAATGCATTTGAGGTATGGAGTTTGAGGAGAATGCTGAAAGTACCATGGACTTCCAAAAAGCAAATAGATCTGTGTTGGAAAAAGTACAGCCAGAGTGTTCCTTGGAAGCTAGAGTGGCCAGACATTGTCTCTCATACTTTGGACATATTGTCTAGAGGAACCCGTCACTGGAGAATGACATCATGTTTGGTGAAGTGGAGATTCGGAGATAAAGAGGAAGACTCTCAGACAGTTAGATTGGCAAGGTGGCAGCAGCAATGAGCTCAGATGTAGCAAAGATTATGAGGTTGGCCCAGGATCAGGCAATGTTTCGTTCTGTTGTGCTTTGGGACCCTATGAATTGGTATCGACTTGATGGCACCTAACAACAACAACAAACCATAAGATTGTCAGATTCATACTGGCCAATATCAGTACATTTTAGCTCAGTAATGCCTAGTGATATCTATCATTCTTTATGCATTCCATTTTATTTTTGACAATTTACAATGTTCCTAGATTCATACTTACTACATTCCATGTTCCAATAATTAATGGATGTTTGTAGCTATTTCTCCTCATCTTGAGTTGTGCTCCATTTGTGTCATCAAGGTCCATTCTTTGATAAGGCAGCTCTTCCTCTCTTTGGTGATAGGTTTGTTCAGGTTTTTCACTTCATTTTATGTTAGTTTAGGTAAGGCTTATTTTTCTAAAACTATCCATTTCCTCTAGATTTTCACATTTGATGGAGTCTAATTCTTCATTGTATTCTGTTATCCTTTTTATTTCCATTGGTTTAGGTGTGATGGCATCCGTGTTATTTGCATCATCTCCTTCTTTTCTCTAAAACTTTATCATTTATGAGGCAAGAGTGGCACTGTTACATTCCTGTCATCCCTCAGGATTCATTGACAGAAAAATGGTACAAATGAATGTCCTTGCATAGGCAGACCAAGATTGGCAGTACTGCAGTGATTAGAATGGATACAGTTGTTGGTGCTAAGCAAGGAGACCCAAGAGCATTTCCCAAGAGCCTTATTATGTAGAGTGGAATGAGTCATAGTTCCCCAAAATTTCTGGTTAATGCAAAAAGTGGGTGTAAGGTGTGGTGGTGGGATGGGGAAAGAGATTCTTGTTTAAGCCACTTCAAATCTGGAGAAACCTTAGTACTAAGCAAAAAAGTATACATGCTTTTTCATAGATGGTGAATGTATAAACTCCTTGAATAGTCAATAAAGTTAAAATGCCTTAAAAAGTTCACAATTTTGGACAAGAAATACGTCTTCTAAACCTTTAGAAATACGTAACCCAGAAATATGCTCAAAAGTGTTTGGTCTTTAAAGCGATCTCAGTACAACTAATTACAATCTACTGATTTTAAAAAGAAAGTAAGTTAAATATCAATCTATGAAGGATGGAGTCGATAGATTGATATATGCATCCTAGAACAGTTATTACCATTAAGAGTGTTCTCAGGAAAAATAAGACTAGTGGAAGGCTCATTGTTACCTTATAAATTTTTAAAGTATGTATTCCTGCATATGTTTCATGTCTGTGTATGTATGTATTTATGCATGTGCCTGATTCTGAGGCAGTGGAAATCTCTGGGCTTTGGAGTTAGGGTGGCTGGATTTAAATCCCACTTTTACTTTCTTAACAGTTTTTGCATTTGTATAAATATTTAACTTCTCACAGCCCGTTACCCCACATATACAACTGAGCTAATATTTGTCTTCCTAGAGTTAATTTGAGATTTACATGAAATAGCATCTGTGTGTAGCATGATGCTTTAAATGTTTAGCTTTTCTTTCCCCAAAACAGGAGCAGGGATGAATGTATAAGAACAGTCAAGGATTACAGTCCAGAAAGAGGCAGCATCAATCAGTCTCATAATCTTGTAGCATCATCTGCACCCTTTTCAAATCTGACGCAACTTCAGAGAACTCCCCGATATGGTTGGTCGTGGTTCTGAGATTGCACCTGTCTAGATAGTTGGTGCTGTCTTTTTTCCATCATAGGGAAAATAAGGTGTTGGATGTATAAACCAAAAACCCAAGATAGTTCCAAAACAACCTAATGTCCTGAGCACATTAAATGCAATATCTTTTATACCAAAAAGTTACCAAAGAACGAACGGAGTCCTGGGAATCTATACTACAAGTAAAGAAGACTTCTCTTCAAGGCATTCACATTGGACTTCCAAATCGATAACATTCATAGCATGTAAAACTGTAAGTAATCACATTTATGTGTTTGTAGGTCCCGAGATGTGGCTGTGGTTAAAGTGACCATGAATTTTGAACCCAATAAAGTGAATATTGAGAAGAAAAACTGCCGGGTAGAGGGAAAAGAAACAGTGTGCATAAACACTACATTGTGTTTTGATGCAAAATTAAAGTCCAAAAAAGACATGACGTATGAAGCTGGTAAGTGTAAGAAATATTTTAATAGGAAGTACTTTTGGCTCAGAGGACAATTTTTGTCTCATCATAATGAAATCTGTAGTATACTATAACTTCTCCTACCATAATGACCTGAACATTTTACATGCTCCTTTGAATGTTTTAAGACTTGAAAACATTCTGTTATGCAAAAACAGTAGGTCATGCAACCCAATAGATTCTGGAGAAAAAAACCAAAATTTTTGTATGTATTGGTCTCAACAATCCATAGTTCTTTTCATACTTCCCAATTTATTACAGACAATTGGGTGCTAAAAATAAAAGATACCAATTTAGAAACTGGACTTAAATGATCACCTTTTTCTTTCCCATGGCTTTCATAAAGGGTCACTTTCTCTTCTCTGGCCCCTTGTCAGAAAAGACTGGTATTGAGCAGGAATTGAATACTTTGCCTGACCTCACATCCTGAATCACATTGCTTTAATCTGAAGGTGACCGTGGTTTTTTAGAGTCAGATACATTATGTATGCTCTTAGGTATAACACATAAGTCTCTGTAAATCCTCACTCATTGCTACACTTTCTGAGGTAGTTTCTAAATGATGTTAAAATATGTTGGAGACATAGCTCTGCAGGTCATGACTGCAGAAAAGAACAAATATGTCAACAAATAAATAAATCCATGAGGCGGCTCTTCAGAGAGTTTGTGGAAATTTTCCATTATCTTTTTTTTTTTTTTAATGTTTTATGGTGAATTATGTAATCGTTTACATGGGAGAACATTAGCTTTATATTCATACTATCGTATATTGTTTCATTGCCATGGTTACAATCTCCTCCATGCATTATCACCCAACCAAAGGGTATACCCTGCAAGCCTGGCCCCGGTCATCAGCACACAGTCCCTCTCCCTCTTTGGGTCTAGAGTCCCCAACCACTCCATCTTTCCACGTCATCATCTCTGACAATACTGCTTTTCTGGGTAGGGTCTTACATTCCACTCTTCTCCCTTGATGGTTCCAGGGACCACGGCTCCTGGACTGCATAGTCAACTACTCCCTTCCTTTTCTACAAAATGTCCACCTTTACATTTCCAACCCTTGAAGTCAGTCCTGATAACAATTATTCACCATTGTACCACAAGGGACCTATCCCCATCTCCTTTCATTAGCCCTGTCCAGACAGATTGGACACTACTCAGTGGAGAGTCTACCTTCCTCTATACCCTCTGGATCTAGGTTCTCTCTTGAAAGCTTGTAAGCCAGTCACTTCTTGCCTTTGTAGCCCCCCCCCCCATTTGGGTAGCCAATGTCCAAGTTGTCCATCCCTGTCTACTCTGTATATGGAAGGGGTGGCAATGATCCTCATTGCAAAGATTTGTTCCCTCTTTTGAGCTACTGCATCCATAGTTGCAGGTCAAGTTCATCAAATTGTATCAGATTACTCTTTTTTCCTATTCTTCTTCTAGTTGAGCTCTGATCATCCAGTCATTGAAGCCAGGTCAAATGGGTATTATCTGCAAGTGTGGGTGTTCTTATGCATATGCCCTCTCTTCTTATCAGCTGGATGCTTCACTCTCCACTCTAGTCCTCTGTGGCTA